AACTAATTTTGAAATGTCTGACTTTCCCATGGGATGGAAATTCTGTTTTCTGACAAGCTATAATTGGAAGTAAATCTAAACTTCCTCTCTCTAACAATCAATTTTAGTTTTATGCAATACCCAGTTTTCTCCAGTTTCAGAAGTACTAATGATTCAATGTAGTATGTTGATGGTGGTTCTGGTGTGTCACCAGCTTCTGCTTTACCCCAATCCCCAAACAATAAAAGTATTTTTATATTGGGATGGAGGATGGGCCATGTTCTGTCTTTCATTTTCCCTCTCCATCATTTATAATGTCTTTTTCAGAGTGAGGGAAGATGACAGTATCATTAAATTTATGCAAGATGTCATCAAAGGTGAAACTCAAATTTCTATCCCCATTAGCAGCTGGCCCAAGATGTGCAAAAATAGGATCCTAAGGTGGGTTCCTATGGCCATAGTTAATCAGCTGTCTGATTTTCAAAAATGCTAAACACTCTACTACTCACAATGAGGTATATGAGGACTGTGTTGGGTTCTCAGCACTTTTGAAAATCCGAGAGGTGCCTAAATATGAACTTTGGAACTTAACTTTAGATTCCACTTGTGGAAGAATAGCCAGTGAAGCTGGTGCAGATGCACAGGGGCCCACACAACTTAAAGGGCTCTGAGTGGCTTGAAAGCATGTATTATTATTAAGGCTACAGATTTGTCACATGAAAAAAAGTCACAGGTAGTATGTTTTCCCCATTTGTCTGTGACTTCAATGGCTATTAGCCAGGATGGGCAGGGATGGTGTCCCTAGCCTCTGTTTGCCAGAAGCTGGGAATGGGCAACAGGGGATGGATCACTTGATGATTACCTGTTTTGTTCATTCCCTCTGGTGCACCTGGCATTGGCCACTGTTGGAAGACAGGATACTGGGCAAGATGGACCTTGTCTGACCCAGTATGGCCATTCTTGTGACTTTTTTCTGTGTCTGTGACTCACCCTGCAGCAGTGGCTCTAGCAGCTCCTATGTCCTGTGGGGCTGAGCCTGGTGCCCTGCACTGGGCATGCCAACCTGGCACGCATGGTCACAGCACCCTCAGGTTTGGCTCACCTGACCCTCCATCATGACGCAGGCAAACTTCAGCAAGTGGTTTTGAAACCTGGAGCACTGAGTCACAGCGCTGCTCAGATTTGGCCTGCCTGACCTTCATCATGATGAAAGGTTGGGCTGTCTAGACCTCAGCTCCATGGGACACTGGAGCCATTCCAGCCTCAGGCCCAACCCCTACACCAGCCTCCTCTGTGCACCATGCCAGGATTAGGGTTGCAGTGCTAAGGGGGAGGGTGCAGTTGCAAGTGGTCTGCTATGGGCGGAGGTCCACAATAAAAACCTGCACTGCGGGGCATGTTTCTGTTCCTCTACCAATGTTAGGCTCCTTGTATTTTTAATCTTGGTCCTTTGGTAGTTCTTCTACCATGGATCCTGGTGTCTCTGGGCCTGTTGGCAAAACAGCAATACAACTATTAGCTATAATGCTTTTTCAAACTGCAAACATATACAGAAAGTTAACTATGAAACAACACTACATTATCAGAGAAGTGAGGAACCAATCATCAAGAAATTAGCCAGGGTCTTTGAAGTTCCTTGCAATTTAATGACATCCTGTACAGCTGTTTATCTTAGTGACTATTTATTTAATGGAAAAGGAGGTGGCTACATATGCGCAGTAAATTAATGTCATGCTTCCATCTGGTTTCTGTAGCTGTGTTGCCATTTCCTTGTTCCTAGAAAAAAACACTGCAAATTTATTTTGACCAACTTTCTAAATCTCTACATGCAGAAAAAATATTATTTACATTTCTATGTCTCCACTATATAGTCTGCTATGCTTTTGTGTCTGTATTTGTTGCCAGGGGCATGTCTCATGATCTCTTTGTAAGACAGGAAGAGTCAGATGCTACAATGTTCGCTTGACCTTCAATCTCCAAGTAAGTTAACAAAAAACTGCTTCGTAAATTACTGCTAATATAATGCTCTATCAAAGACGATTGTGGCTTCCCCATAAGCCTTTTTGGAACACGTTATCAAATGTACTAATCACCTCCCCAACCTCCACAGTAGTGAGCCAGTCTGGGGAATGGTATATTTTCTACTTTTGACATATGTAACACCTCTGACTCAATAGGAGTCTTGGAATCAGGATCCTCCATGGGTATTGGCCTATGTGGGTACTGTCACAGTTTCAGGAAGGGCAGAGTTGTCTGGCATGATCATTTCTGGATTGCACTCCCTAAGGGCCTATGCAGCTACGCTGATAGTTCCTATCTTCCCTGTGGTGTTTCTGCTCTTTTTCTGGGCAATTGCCACCTCTCTGAACTGATGATCACTGTTGCATATCATGGCCACAGTTGTGATGATAGGTCACACAACTTCATTTCAATTATTGTCATGTCTCTTTTTCTTCTATGTTTTAAAATGGTATTGTAGGGCCTAAACTGAGGAGCAAAGCTTCCAGATGAGGTGCACAGATTGGGAGAAGCATAAATAAGTGCTATAAAAGTGCATGAACACTGCATTTATGACTTGACATTTATTTCCTGAGTTTCTCTTGCTCACTCCCTTACTTTTTTATTACAAATGAATGCAGAAAACCCCATCTACATATTGATGGCCAACTTGTAATGTGAATTTTATGTTGTACCTCATTCACCAATGAATAAATATTCTCCATAGGCATGTAGAAGGTAGGAGGAACAATTTGGCATTATGATTTCTCAGAAGAGATTTATCCAAACACTGTGTTTTCCCTGATTCTCCTGCTGTTGCCACTTCTGTTGTCCAAGGAGATGTTGCTCTTTTAAATCCCTCTGCTATCGAAGCCTCTTCATATACTTAGAATATAGGCTAAAGGTCACTATTTGGATGAAAGAAGAGAGGGTGGAGAGAAGACGACGAGTTATTGGGCTCATTATAGAGATCACAGTGAAATGTAATGGTCTGTGATATACATGCGGTCAGACTACATGATCTAATGGTCCCTTCTGGCCTTAAACTGTGACTCTATGAAGGAAAAGAACAATAGAAAAGCAAGAGGGCGGGAGGGGGAGAGGGAGAGATGACAAGAGATAAAGAGAAAAAATGTATTAAGTTGATTTATATATCCACAGATTTTGTCATCACTTCAAGAGGAGCAGAGATGGAGACACTGGACTAGACACTGAAATTCTAGGATTAGAAAGTGATTTACATCAACATATGGAAAACCATTTAAATGAATGGGAATAACTAGTAAAGAATTCTAATAAACAAATTCAGGGGCAAATAAATGTAATAAATAAATTCTTTTTTTTGTTTTGTTTTATGTAGGAGTGCTTGCAGTGATGCTATAATTAAGGTTGAGCTGACATTTCTTTTTTAACTTCCTATTTTTAATACTATTCACAGAAACATTCATTTAAGACAGTAATTTTTCATGCTTAGTTCCATGTCAAATATGAATATTTTTGATAGTTAAATAAAGTCCAAATTTGAGTTGTTTGAACATGAATAAAATATGTTTTCCACTTTAAAACATTGCTTTGGCCTTTTTGGCTCTCATTCTGGGTCTAATCCAAATCTCACTGAACTCAAGAGAAAGACTTCTATTGACCATAGTGGGAGTATGATTGGACCCAGAGACCAAATCAATTTAGTTATCCCTGCACACAGCAGGTCTGAATTTTGCCCACTGACTTTAGTGGGACTGCTTATCTAAGTGAGGGATGGAGGGTTGGGCCCTTTTACATTAAATATAAAGAGAATATTTTATTACTTAAGCAGCAACAAAGAAGAAATCTGATATACAGACTAAAACAACTAAACTGTAGTAGTTTAAGCTATGGGTGACAATAAGCCTACAACTCATACTATAAAAGTTATTTCAATGATCGTTCAAATAATACTTTCAATCTAACAAAGACAATTGGTGTTTCAATTTTTCTTATTTTATTATTATTTTGAACCACATTTCTAGAAAGGGTGTTTATTTTTGTTGCCAGACAACTAGTTCCTGCTCCCATTGGTGTGTTCATAGCACAAATTCCATTGATTTCCTTGGGAGCTGGATTGGGACGCACATTGACTGAGTACATTTATTGGCTGTAGTCACAAGGATTCTAAAAAGGCCAACATTTTACTAACATGATCACAATAGGCATTTGGAATGTATATCCATATAAAACAATGGAATACATTTTCTGATATCAGACCAGAAGTCTTTCAATTTGGCATGTATTCAGAAGTTGCACTGATCAGTTATATATTGTTAATTGTGTCCTAATTTACATAAACATTATATATATTTACATAAATGGTATATTAATTTCACATTTGGGATATGCAGTTTTCAAATATGAGGTACTATTTTCATAGTGGATTTAATAATAATAATCAGTACTTGTATAACATTTACATTTTCAAAGTGCTGTACAAACATTACTTAATTAAGTCTCATAACATCCCTGAAATGTGTGCACACATTGAATGTAATACTATGCCATTTAACATATGATGAAACAGAGATGCATGGTGAAATCCTGGCAGCACTGAAGTCAATAGGAGTTTTGCCATTGTCTTCAGTAGTGCCAGGATTTAATCCAGAGAAATTATGTGATTTAGCCAAGATTACATAGCTGCCCGATTAGAATTCCAGAGGCTACTCACAATCTCTCTTAATATATTTGGAAAATATTATGTAAAGTCTTCTATTTAGTATCCTTATTAACTAAGCAATACAGACTGATGTAACAGTCTTTGCTCAGTGAGTGAAGGAGTTGAAGAGTTGATTAGTGAATAGCTGTATTGGATGGAGTATGCAAATTACAAAGTTTTTCTTCATGGTTTCATAGTAGAAAATGTTTTCATAACTTTATCAACGTCAAAGGTGTCAGCCGGCATTTCTCTGTGAAATCTTGAAACTGCTCTTTCATCTGTGTTGTAAACACATCAACAAGTATGTAGAATGTCTTGACTTTGAAATGCTGTCACCTACTTTCTGTAGGGTTGTCAGCAGTCAGCTTGTTATAAAAGTGTTTCTTTTCCAACTCTGTTTCTTTTGGTAGTGTGTCAACGTACCACATTCTTTAGCTGTGTTCCTTGCCGCTTCTTCCATTTTTATCAAAAATTTAGTATGACAGAAGTTTCTCTCTTTCTTTGCAACATGTTGATATTTCAGGTTCTTTGCTGTCACAAACACAGGTGTGCTACTTTGAGGATAAGTTGTGTGTGTGTGTAAGCTATCTTCAGCATTTTGTGCTAAAAGCATAGCTGGAATTTGAACTCAAATGTTTCTGTTTAGTGAGAAGTCCCTAAGCTTCTGTTATTGCCTTTGTCTTTTAATCTGGAATTTTCCCAGATGAGAACGAGTCCGCTGCTTGCTTGGAACTTGCCCATCTGGTGACAGACAGTTTTTTAAATGTATGGGTTCCAATACTGTTTATTCCAGTGCTCTTTGTGTATTTCTCTGTATTCATTTGCAGAAGTCTACAGGTAGGAACCTGTACAGTGCCCAGGTGTCCCATCTAACATCTGAACAAACATTTGTACAAATTGCTGCATCAGCAAATGTAAGATGCAACAAATGACTATTTTCACTTTTCAGTTACACTTGTTTCAGGAGGTGTTTCAGGCCTGAAATACAACCACACATTAGAGTTACACTGATACTGGCTTTGGCTAAGGCAGAAGGAAATATTTTGCACAAATGCTTTCATGATTTGTACAACAGAATTGCTTAACTTTGTGCATGCTGATAAGGGCAACTCATCAAAGCTGACGAAGTACTCAACGTATAACATTTATTAGTCAATCTCATTCTTGTGCGTGTTATAATGTAAACAGCTTGTTGCAACTGAAAAAGGATTTCTGAAAAGTCAACTTGCTGGCTACACTATAGTAGTTGGCTAGCTTGGAACACTGTATTATGGAGTGTTTTCTTTTGATCAGATGTCGCAATTTTCTTTTGCTTTATTCAGAACAGCTGTAGGTTACAGTGGCTCTGGCTTCAGCACTTCACAAATTCAGAGTTTTCCATAACATCATGAGCTAGGTCAATCCCAAGGGGAGCAGAGGGGCAAATTGCACCCACATGTGTTATTGGGGATCCACTAAAGGGCTTCATCTCTGTGAAAGGGCAGACAGTGTTTACACTTCCACCCTCCCTCTGGACTTTGCTACAGAATAGCTTTAGCTTACAGTTGTGGCAGCACAGAAGCCCTGCCAGTGGAGGATGTCTGGAGGATACAATGATTTGATTCATCCTCCTCTTTTGAATGGGATTTATGACATAGGTGGTTCTAGGGGCAAATCAGATCTCATGTTCAGATGCCCATTCAGATGAAGCATGTCCACTTTCCCAGTTAGAACTTCCTCTTTCTCCAACTGGATGAAAAACAGTTTAAATGCACACAGTAACCAGAAAGTGTTGAGTCCCAGTTTCCTAGCTCCTTTAAAGGGCTCACATCATGTTAGATTGTAGTAATTCAGCAATCTAAGTAAAATATATTATATACAAGTAATTAGTTGATTCTTCTGATATCTGGTGTAGAATCATGGGAGTTGTATATTACAATATTCTGCAGCCTTCCCCTCATCCACAAGGATATGTAATATTTATTTCACCATTCTTGTTCTTCTTTACTATTTGCATTGTGTTCATTCCCAAAGGTCCCAATCAGGACTGGTCTGTATTGTGCTAGGTTCTGTACATAGGAAGGCATAGTATCTACCCTAAAGATGTTATAATCTACTTTAAAAATTAAAACTATTATAATAGTAAAAGTCAATATTTAATTAGAAAATATTGTATTTAGAAATATGTTGGTTAAGAGAATGTTCTTGGTGTTCATAGAAACTATAGTTCTTAAATAAGTTATAAAATGTAAACTCCAAATATTCATATTCTTTCTATTATAGTAAGATGAGAAGGAACTTCTTCATCTCTGCTGAAATACTACCAGGAGAAATCTTTTTCCTGTACCATATCATAAAGAAATATTCTCTAGTTACAGAATGTTTCAAAAGTAGGCTGACATGAACCAGAGATCAAACAAAGTCTGTATACATGGGTCTACTTTGAAAAAAGCTAAGGATTTGTAGGATATTCTGATCATACAGCCTAAAAAAATTTAATTGGCATGATGTTTCTGTTTATTTCACAAGTCACAGCACAGCTACGCTGCACAAGGCTAGTAACAACAACAGAATAAGTAGACTATCTTCATGAATAGGAGTCTAAAAATTATCTGAATTGTCTCTAGAATAAGTGTAGGTCTTAGGACTAGCTACATTAGGCCTTTAGTCACGTTTAGGGCCTTACCAAATTCACGGTCCATTTAGTCAATTTCATGGTCATAGGATTTTAAAAATTGTAAATTTCATGATTTCAGCTATTTAAATCTGAAATTTCACGGTGTTGTAATTGTAGGAGTCCTGACCCAAAAAGGAGTTGTGAGGGGGTCACAAAGTTATTGTAGGGGAGGTTGCTACCCTTCTGCGCTGTTGCTGGAGGCAGCGTTGCCTTCAGACCTAGGCAGCTGGAGAGCTGCAGGTGCTGGCCGGGAGCCCAGCTCTGAAGGCAGAGCCACCGCCAGCAGCAGCACAGAAGTAAGGATGGCATGGCACGGCATTGCCACTCTTACTTTTGTGCTGCTGTCTGCAGAGCGGGGCCTTCAGTCAGCAGCCACCACTCTCTAGCTACCCAGCTCTGAAGGCAGCACAGAAGTAAGGGTGGCCCCCCTAAAATAACCTTGCGATCCTCCTGCAACTCCCTTTTGGGTCAGAACCCTCAATTTGAGAAATTTTGCTGGTATCCCCTGTGAAATCTGTATAGTATAGGGTAAGAGCACACAAAAGACCAGATTTCATGGTGGGAGACCAGATTTCACAGTCCATGACGCATTTTTCATGGCCGTGAATTTGGTAGGACCCTAGTCATGTTAGTTGGACTCTTGTAAAAATTCAGTTTAAACATGAACCAGGCTAACTCACTTTAAACATGGTTTGTATGGCCCATGTAGACAGGTTCTACCATGTTTATACAAAGTTTAGAAACCATGTTCTACCCTAACTACCCTATAATACTAGGTAAGCAAACCACGTTTGGTACTGTTTTAAAATAGTTCAGTTTACATCTCCCTTTGGGATGGGGCCTTAGAAGAAAGAGGGTCACTGGATAGGAGATGTTTCTCTAGAAGTTATCAGACTGGTGTTCATTTCCAGAACAAATTGGAGACTGATAGATATCTGAAGAAGAACAAGAGTTAAAAGGTTTGCTTTAATCTTCTCCTGAAGAAAATGGAGGCTCCACAGAACCAAAAAAAAAAAAAAAAGGGGGGGGGGGGGACTGATGCACGTAGAGGCTAAGCAGCTTGCTGGAGATCACACCATGTCATGAACAGAAGCCAGGTCTCCTGACTCCAAGCCTGCTGCTCTAACCACTAGACAACATTACCTCCCAAAGTACTAAAAGGTAGTTTTCAACAATATTGGTCATGAATTTAGGTGGCAAGTGAATTAAATTAAAATTTAATTACACAGGGTAAAATCTATTGTAAAAGTTAATTTTATTTTAGGACTGTAAATTCAGAACTTCAGAAATTTTCTTTTGTCATCTGAACATAGTGAAATCCATCAGAGATTTTAAGGTTTCTATAATCGTATCTCTTTCGTTTCCAGCTTCATCGGTACCAAAAAAACTCCCTTCATTGAAGATTCCATTTTCTATCCTGTTCTATCGATTTTTTTACTTTTCAAAATGGTACTTCCTTTATGCTGCACCGAATGGAAGTAGGAGTCTGATCTTTCAAACCTGATTCACACTCTTGAAGTTAAGTGGACTAAAGACATGATTAAGGAATATTCATATAAGTGAGCATTTGAAAGACTAGACTCTAGGACAGGGGTCGGCAACCTTTGGCACGCGGCTCGCCAGGGTAAGCACCCTAGCGGGCCAGGCCAGTTTATTTACCTGCTGATGCGGCGGGTTTGGCCGATCGCGGCCCCCACTGGCCGCGGTTCGCCGTCCTGGGCCAATGGGGGCGGCAGGAAGCCGCGGCCAGCACATCCCTCGCCCGTGCCGCTTCCCGCCGCCCCCATTGGCCCGGGACGGCAAACCGCGGCCAGTAGGGGCCACGATCGGCCGAACCTGCCGCGTCAGCAGGTAAATAAACTGGCCCGGCCCGCTAAGGTGCTTACCCTGGCGAGCTGCGTGCCAAACGTTGCCGACCCCTGCTCTAGGACCTTATGTGACAATTTCACAGTCCCCATAGACTCAACATGATCTTTGAAAGCTAGGACTGAATTAAGGAGTTAGTTGAACCTGAATATGGCACAAAATTGCTATACAACATTTATTATTATTATTTTGTATTATTACGTATTATCTGTATTACATAGCACCTAGGAGCCATTGTCATGGACTAGGAGCCCATTATGGTAGGCACTATAAAAACAAAACAAAAAGATGGTTCCTGCCCTAACAAGAAACAATGGACAAGATAGGCAGTGGTCTCAGCACACCAGCACACTGTATTGTTACAGACTTACTTGTTGACAGGTATTTTGAAATAAATTACCAAAATAATTGAAACTGACATGATTATATTGTGCCATTTTGACAAACAAAATATGCATAATTTTGCAATATTGTGTGCAGAATTTTTATTTTTTTTGGTGCAGAGTTCCCCCCACGAGTAAAAAAAGGTGTATATTTGAAAATGTAACAAGTGGTCAATGGGGGTTGACATCATAAGCCAATCGGAGGTGGGAGTCTAACTTGACAGTGAATGAGAGATGATAAGTAGAGTTGAGACAGGTTGTGATAAGAGGGTATTTTCCTCCAGAGAAATAATTTGGAAGGAAATTATAAATAGAAGCACATTGTAACAAGATGGTATAATAACTTATGTCCCAGCACCTGCACAGACCTCATTGTAGGACTGGTGTCTTTAAAAGTACTTACTGTTCATTATCACTGTTGGAATTCTCCATAATTAAAAAAAGTATAGAGAAAAACTCTGCATAAATCTATGCTAATTCTGCATACTTTGTAATACATTTACAAATAAAACTTGAAATAGAA